TTATCAATTTTATTGCCAAGATGTCATTTTTTGATAATTGTGTACAAATTTGAATTTATATAGATAATTGATAATGAATTAAGAGAATTATTAAAATAGATTAAATGAGCTTGAGCTAAACAAATATTTTTATAAATTTGTTTAGTTAACATGGTTAATTAATATATATTGTCATCATTATTTTATACAAGTTTGATAAAAGTAATGGATGATCATTTATCAAAGTATTGAGATTCACCCCAAGGTTGCAAAGAATAAATTATTGTAATGGGGTTTTGGATTTTATTAAATATAAAATATCTAATCTAAGAAATATTAATGGGGTATTAAATGTTTATACAAAAGGTGTAAAAATAAAAATAAAAATTGATCTAGTTGTTGTAGCGATGCATCTTTTACAAAAAAGATTCATAAAGAAATATTTGTATTTGTATGCACACATAGAACCATATATTTCTCATGATACTATGGTAGAAAGAATGATTGGATTAACTTCTAGTGCTAGCAACGTGCAAAGATTTATAGATGATAATAAAAATCCTTATAGGAATATGTTTATGGATATGATAAAAATGAATCAAGGTCTTGTTGGACAATGTTTAATTATAGATGAAGAACCTGAAGCAAATATGGTTAGATTTTTTTATCTTGTAAAAGATTTTTATGAACCATTATGAGATAATTTTATAAATTAAAGTAAATTATCAATCGTTGCATAGGTTTTCACCATCAAGTCGAATCATGGGTTGAGTGAGGCCGATCATGATAAAATTATCAAATAAGCAAGAAGTATTTTACTTAAAGGGAACAAGTTGAAAGAGAACTTCTATGTTACTAAATCCATGATGACACTCCTCGGTCTAAGATATCAAAAAATTAACGTGTCCAAACTTCTGCATGCTATACTACCTTGAAAATATAGGGCTGACAAAGTGTAAAACATGCGGACATTCTCGTTGTAAACTCAAAACTAGCATAGAAGGACTCTTATCGCATATAGAATACTTAGATATTTCATAGTCATACCTAGACTGTAGAGGTTATTCATATCATCAAAGACTGTTGAGTACATGACATGGCATCAATCACATGATACAGTGGATGGAGTAATGGTGCACCTTTTTAATGGATTCAATCGATTCATGTCATTTGTTGCTTTTTATTCTTGTTGGCTAATTATACTCACTATTTACAACTTGGCACCGAGGATGTGAATGAGGCTGCAGTTCATGTTTTTATCTATGATTATAATCGGTTCTAATAGTATAGGTTAGAATATAAATGTTTGTTTTCAACTATTGATTTATAAGTTGATGCATTTATGGTCATTCAAGGCTTTGACTTATAATATATTGAGGAAACAAATTTTTCATATGGAGGCAGCTTTGATGTGGACTATAAATGATTTTTCAACATATGGTATGGTTTCTAATTGGAGCATATATAGAAAACTAACATGTCCATACTGTATGGAAAATAACAAGGCATTCGTGCTCACAAACGATAGTAAAACATATTTTTTACTCTCACTAGCGATTCTTGTTAACAAATCACAAGTACAGAAAAGATTTCTTTATTGGGAGAGTTGAAAGGGATGTTGCGCCATCGTTTTTTTTTTTTTTGGTGAAGAATTATATAATATGATGTCAGAGTATAGTGAAATTGTGTTTAGTTTTCAATCCAACAATAAGTTTTCTAGTTTTAGTTTGACCCATAATTGAGTAAAGTATAGTATTTTCTAGAAGTTTTCTTATTGGAAGATCAATCTCCCACATCAAAACCTTAATGTCATGCACATAGAAAAGAATATTTTTTAAAATATTAATGGATGTTAAGGAGAAGATAAAGGAAAATACAAAGGCTAAAATGGATATAACTTAGTTTTGTCACTGTAAAAAATGAAGTTAGTTTATATTGGGTCACAAGTCGCAAAGCCCAAAGTTAGTTTTGCCTTAGATAAGAATTCACAGTTACTTATCTACCAATGGTTTAAGAGTTTGTGTTTTCCTGATAGACATGCCTCGAACATATCAAGTTTAGTTAATTTAAAGGATTATAGATTGTATGGAATGAAAAGCTATAATTGTCATGTGTTTATACAAGCACTCATTCCATTAATTTATTAGGATTTATTGCCAAAAGAAATATGGGATGCACTCTCAAAGATCAATTATTTCTTTAGAGATATATGCTCCAACAAGTTGTAAACATAACACATGAAAAGGCTTGAAACGTGTATTATGCAGACAATATACAAACTTAAGATGACATTCTCTTCATCGTTTTTTTACTCGATAAAGCATTTACCCATACATTTACCGTTTGAGGTAAAAGTTGGAGGTCCAGTCCAATATAGATAGATGTATCCATTCAAGAGTTAGAGATTACACATGTAATGTAATTAAAGTTTTATTATCTTATATATATATATATATATATATATATATATATATATATATAATCCAAAATATTTGTTTTATTCCATGTAGGTACTTATACAACCTTAAAAGAAAAGTTAAAAATAAGATGCATGTTGAGGCTTTGATATATGAGACCTATATTGTTGAAGAGATCTCAATATTTATCTTGTAATATTTCAAGCTTCAATTAAGAACTAGAATCAACCATGTTCTAAGACATGACGATGGTAGTGAAGTGTCTTCGAGTGGAAACTTGTCAATATTCTCTCATCTTAGATAATCAGCATAAAAAAATATTGATAAGAAAAAATATTTGTTTCAAATAGAATTCAGACAAGCACATAATTATGTGTTATTTCACTACGATAAACTAAGACCTTTTATTCAATAAGTATACTACTTCAACTTTGTTATTAATGAGCACTTTATCTCTTATAATATCATAAACAGTTGAATACCACGTAGGCATCATCATTAATATTTACTGTCCTAAAACTCACAAATAACTGAATCCTAAGTCTTTCAATTACAAGATGAGTAATTTTTCACGTAGTTCAAAACATATATAAATAATGTTTAATTATTATTATCAATCGCGACACTTAATTTCATTGCACATTTCTTGTTAACTATTCATAATTTCACTTCATGTACGAGGTTTATAAATTAGAAGGGAATGCTAGTGTTACTTTGTCTTAACTAAGTCTGGGTTTTGAAAGAAAGGTGAGTGCTACAACGAGTATTTCATCAATAAAAACCAGTTTCATATAGAAGAATATGAGCAGGGTAGATAAACATATAACAATAGGGTTGTGTTAAGGGATCGATTTCTAATGAGTTTAAAGTTGACTATTATGGAAAATTAGAAAAGGTAATTGAATTGCAATATCATAATGAGTATAATAGAGTATTTTTATTCAAATGTTATTAGTATAACACCACTAACAAAGAAATCAAAATAGATTCCCATAATAGTTTGGTCAAAATTAATTCAAAAGCTAGATTCTACAACATCAACAATATCTTTATTTTTGTCAAGCAATGCTAACAAGTTTATCACAAATACACTCTTTTCTTTTAAAAGGATCGTTCAAGAGTTAATTGGTTACTCGTATTAAAAACCAAACCAAATGGTTGTGTTGAGGTTGTTCAAGATGGCAACGATGAATCAAATGTGGGAGATGATGTCTTTTAACTTGGTGAGTTAATTAATCCATATCGAGTTGCTCTGTTAATTGACTTAAATGAAAATTCAAATTTTCACATTGAAAATATTTTTGTTGATGTTGACGCTGAAGAGTTGAATATTGTTTTTAACTCCAACGGACATGCACAAGTCAATCAAGATGATGATAGCAACGAAATTAATGTAGAAAATTACGATGGAGATGACAACAAGTCAATTGAAGAAGAAGAAGACAATTCTAATTAATATGCAAAACATAAAAGTGTAATGCCATAAATTATAATGTAATATTTATAGATAAAATTCATTTCAATATAATGAGAATGATGTTAATTTATTATTAAATTACAAGGAAATATTTATTTTATTATTGTGATGTGAATTGGTGTTATTGTGATATGTGTACAATTATCAATTTAAGTATTTGCAAAATAGATAAATAGGAAATACAGATACAATTTGGTATCAGATATGAAATACCGACAGTTTATTCATTACACACGGGTATACTAACGAGTTATATTCATTGGTATATTCCAATGATTATGGAAATTGTTTCTCTTATCCTGACACTATTCATGATGTTCATTACACACGGGTATACTAACAAGCTATGTATGTTAGTATATTGTAATGGTGATGAGAATTGTTCTTTTTTTCTCTAACATTGTTCAAAGTATTCATTATACACAGGTATATTGACGAGCTGTGTTTGTCAGTATATTCTGGTGGCGATGAGAATTGTTCCCCTTCCCAAGACGGCGATGCCAATTAATGGTTTTATTATTTCCACTGAAATCATTGACGAAATAGGGTTTCCAGTGCACTGGCAATTAATATTCTTACTAAATGAAGTACATGTTTTTACAGGTTTTCAATGAGAATTCTAATGTGACGGTAATTAATGCATTTGTTCTTAATAATTTTATGAATTAATAGTTGTGTTGAATTTTAGTTGTTATTAAAATATTTTTTGCATTATTTTGATGAATTTCAATTAATTATATAGGATTAATTTTAATTATTATTTTGTATTTATTCCATTTAGAATATTTTTTTGTTAAATTAGGATTACAAGTATTATCATTTAGAAACAATTTTGTTGAATTGTAATTGTTACTGAAATAAATTTGTTGTTGCAACGAGTAAAACATTGAGGTAGAGTCATTTTGTGGGGGTGTTTGTTGTGTAGGGTTCAAGTTGGGTTAAGGAGGACAGGATCCTGCAATCCCTGGTTTATATGATTGTAGGAATGTCCACTGCAATTACCAGGCATAAAAAGAACAACGGATTCGAAACATGCTTTGGTATCCAAAGAAACTATGGATTGAAACAATTACATGTAAACAAAGCAAACTCAGTTGTACAAAAAAGGAAATTAACTGACAAGAAAGAAGGAAATCTGCTAGTTTTATTGCAAACAAAGAGTTGCAGGAATAAGAAACAAGAAACCTCATTCCACTCAACAAAATCACTCCCATATTGAAATCACACCGAATAACAAATAGGTTTTCATTACAACACATCCCACTGGAACTATTAATTTTCTATATATAGTTTTACAAAGCAACAGTTACTAATAATTAGACTCCTGCTAATAGCTAACAGATAAGGAAAACATCAGTTATTACTGCCACTTGAATGATGTTCCAATAAAATTGACATCAATTATTGGATATCAACTGCCCTCTTTCCAATGTAAATGGCTGGAACTTTAGCCTACACAGTACGAATTTGATTCAGCAAAATCCTTGGCTTTATCACCCCTATACACGTTGTTAGATTCAGTCAATTCCTTCTGCTTAATTCTGCTCTGGATGCTCCAGTCTTGATCACTAGAATTTGCATCATACGTCTAATGCTGTTGATACCATCGGCTCTCAGGACCTGCCAAACAAAGCTCACAATTGATTATAAATGTCTCTAATATTCCACCTTTAAGGAGAACAGAAGAAAAGGTGTGGTATTGCTCTAAAGCAGATTCTAGAAATCAAAAACCAAATTAAACAATTAAGTCGTCAGGAAATTTACCAATTCATATGCATAAAAAGGCAGAAACTCGTGCTCCTATCGATGCAGACTGTAGTGCCCTCTCCTTTTCATAAGAAGTTGTTAACCATTTCCTCAATTTCTTTGCTTATATTCTTTGTAAGCATACAAATTTTGAATGCTATACAACAGGGATGCCACACAAAATAGAAGTAACTAGAGCTCCAGCTCTGAATTCTAGCTTAAATTTCAGCTTTAAAGGCTTGGAAGCAGCAGGCATCGAATTTGACAGCAATCAAGGAACAGCATGAGGTTTAACTGATAAGAAAACCTTCTTGAATCTTGAATTGTTAACCTCCTATAGTCAGTTTTGGATCCATGACACCACAAAAATCTCTCCTGTTGCAGTTTGTCGTTTAATCCTACCAAGTAATAGAATTACCACAGGTGCTGAATAAACACAAGACACGATGAAAGTACTGACAAGAATTCTTGAGAGAATTTACATGACAACCACACAACCACAAGGGGAAAAGGGTTCTTCTTGAACCTGACTTAATCTCTTCACACATGAGAAGTATCTTATCAGGGCACAGTAATTGAGATACAGAAGTGGGAATCTGTATTCTGTAAAGCAACATGGTCTCAATCATCAAACTTCAAAAAGAATTCAAGAGGCTAAAATAAAATAAAAAAGGAACCCCCAATCAACAGAATCAGATGTCATCATTAAATCATCAATCTTTGTACCTTAAACAAGTTATAGACCAAGAGATCAAGATCAAAGGAGAAGTGTAGAGAATTGGCGGAGGTTGTTTTCTTTCAAGTTCGACAAAAGTAGTCCCCAAAATAAACCCTTAAGAGTACTTAAACATGACTTAATCTCTTCACACATGAGAAATTATCTCACCAGGACACAGTAATTGAGATACATAAATGGGAATCTGTATTCTGTGAAGCAACATGGTCTCAATCATCACACTTCAAAAAGAATTCAAGAGGCTAAAATAAAATAGAAAAGGAACCCCCAATCAACAGAATCAGATGCCATCATTAAATCTTCAATCTTCGTACCTTAAACAAGTTATAGACCAAGAGATCAAGATC